TTAGGTTACCTCGCCGGTACGATCTCTGTTATTAGTCTTCAAAATATAATGGTGGGCGTGGCGCTGCGTGGCGCCGTATAGAAGGCGGCCGGGCGGGTCGGCCTGTGCCCCGGGTGGGTTCGCGACGCGCGACGGGTGATGCGACAGCCGAGCATTATTTAGAACGGGTCTGTTATGAGACGTGTGCCCTAGGAGGAGAGGAGCAGGTCAGTAAAAATTCTCCCATCCACTCTGAAGAAACAAAAAAATACGATTTCACCAAATCGTGGAAGACAACGGAGGTAGTATTTAGTAAATTTTGACAGACAACAAAGGTGCTTTCTATTTCTAGACAAGTTAATGAAATTTGAATAAAAAATACTACAGAAAATTAGAAATTTTTCGAGATATGTTTGCTATAATTTCGACTGATGAAATTTGAGAAATTTGAGTTTTCATCCACAAGTTTCCATGGAAATGACGAGCTGAGCAGTAGGCCGAGTCGAGCCAGGGAAATTTTAGCCAATCACGAATTTCCGCGGGAAAGTTTGACCAATAGAAACGATCGCCTGTTGCTTTGTACAATGGTGTCGATACTCCTTGCTTTCAGTGGTCGCATTTGAATAATAACAAGTCGCCGCCGTGTAAATAGGTTCAGCATAAACGCTGTTTCGAACGCGACCGGTCAGCATCAGTCGACGATAGGCATTGTTAGCGAAGACTGTACTTGTGACTTCCAAATCGCATTTAAAAGAAGGCGCGGCGGCTAACAATGCTGCCAACCTATCGCCCTTTGCAGCTGAGGCGCGGCTCCGAGGAATATTTTTTTAAAAAAACTATGATTCATAACCACAACTGTAGATCCGCCTTCGCTAATAATATTATTTCATAGCATGCAAAAAGTATGCGAAGCCAATTAGTACAACCAACCTATAACTAAAAATAAATATCATATCATTTATTAGTTATGACAACATCTAATTAAATAGAATATTTTGACTATTTCCGACGTAAAAATTGAAATCTATAGGGCCGTTAACGCGTTAAGGTTAGAATTTGTGGTAAATATTCCTGCCATTGCACAGAAAGGATCTGGTTTTTGGGCCAATATTTGAATACTATACCTGTGTCTGGTTTACTTGTGCAACCAGGAACAACACAATTAGTATACCCCATATTGTAGTTAATGGGCTGTATTTATGTGGTTCAAATCAGGAATTATTAAATAAGACCAATAAATTTGACTCTAAGCTCAATGAAAATGGCGTCGATGGTGTTCCCTTTAGCGTGTGTTTGAAATGAAAGCGTTTATAACAAGGCGGGAAGGTGGTGGCGTTCGAATATGAGTATTGCCATCTGTGTCTGTTTCCTTATTATAGTAAAGGAAGTGTGCTCCTTCGGAAAACCCGGATAAATGTTTTTGATGATTTGCTTGTTTTATTTAGAATTAGTGGTGAAAATGGGAATATTATGAGAAGGCGGTAAGGTGGTGGCGTTCGAAAAAAAGTAGTGTTATCCTAGTTCTGTGCATTGTAGCAAAGGAAGGGATTGTTTGAACGCAGACTTTAGAGGTGTCTTCTTTCCTCTGGATTGGCTCGGCTCGGCCTACTTGTTGCATGCAAAACTATCTCCATCTCTCTCGTGACGAGCCGAGTATCACCATAGAAACAGCGATTTCAATTTAAATTTGCAAAAAACTGAAAATTAAGTTTTTGATTAAACTTCGAGGATCAATTTAAAATTGAACTTTCTATTTTTTTTAAAAAAATTAAGAAAATCGTTAGACCGGTTTCTAATATCCCATAAAGGGCCATGTAAAACAATTGACTATCGGGGCAAAACGATCGTAGAAGACAACTCCGCTGTCTAAAAATTAAAAAATAAACGGAGACGGTACCCGTCGAATGATAAAAAATATGCAGCAAGAGCATAGGCGACATTCATTGAAAGGTTAGGCCTTCGCCCCCTCTGTTGTTCCTTCTCGCTCCAGGGGACCTTTTCGGGCAGTCGTGGTTGGTCGCGTGCCGCGGCTGTCCGTCCGTCTGTCTGTCCGCCCGACCGCCCCGCCAAGCTGTCTGCTTTAATTATGATGATCCGCCCAATGCTTCCCATTCTTTCCTTTCAATTAAAGTAAACCCGTCAGACGATGATGCGCCCGCTGCGTGACCGCCCACCTGCTTTCAAATGATGCACCAAAAGGCAAAAGTTATTTACAGTAACCATTTTTTTTTTCTCAGGATTTCTGCGGATTTCTGTTTATGTTAAAAGTTCTTTAGTTCCTAGATTTTTGTTTCTTTCCCTCGTAGGTAAATGATTTTGCACTTTTCTTGTTTTCCCTCATGACTCACTCGTGGAGGAAGTTGACACCCGGAGAAGTTGTGTCCGCGCGGGCGCGCGCGCGCGTGTGTGTGAAACGGGTTGTCTGTCGATGCGTATTGACTGATAACGTTAATTAACAGCTATAAACAAGAAAGTCATACAGCGATTGCCATCGCTGGCCGCGGCGGCGCGCCCGCTGCTGCTGCTCGGCCCGGCCGCAGATCGGTAGAGATATCTTAATGAATCGCTGGGCTAGTGTCACCACCAGCCCTCCCCTTATTGTCGCTCACTCCATCATCGGGGCAGGCAAGACGGACAGACGTACGAGAGGAAACATCGCTGTTCGACTACATCACCGGGGCACACAGGCAGGCAGACGCACCAAGAGGAAACATCGCTATCCAACTACATCCTCTTTCTCTCTCTCTCTCTCTCTCTCTCTCTCTCTCTCTCTCTCTCTGTCTCTCTCTCTCTCTCTCTCTCTCTCTCTCGCCCCTCTCTTTTGTAACCCCTCGTGGGGCCAGCGCTGATCGCACAAAAAGAGCCGGGGAATTAGAAAGGGGCCCGACTGCGAAAAAGCCCCCTTGAGAGCTTTAGCGCTGTCCACCTCGCGGCCCCGCCCCGCCCTGCGGCCCGAGAGAGAGAGAGAGAGAGATGATTTATACGCCACCCTTCCTCCTTGACCGCCGACCGCTTGCCGCTACAAGATGTACGAGTTGGTCAGCCTGCGGCCTGCTGCCGGCCTGGGGAGAGTCTCGTGGGCGGCGGGGTAGCTGCTGTTGGGGTAGGCTAGGCTGCTCACAGGAGTCCCACTTCGGGCCCGGGCTCCACACGGGGTATAGATGGACGTCTCTGGTGGTCGTGGTGACCGGAACAGAGGAGCGCACGGGGCCAAAAGCTACGGCGGGGCTGTGTGTGGTGCAGCAGGAAGGAGGCGAGCGCGCGAAGTTGATTTCGCCGCTCGCTCTCGCTTCCTGTCTGATCGGCGGAGGTCGGCGGCGCTCCGTCAAACTAGACCGCGCGCCACGCCAAGCTCCGGATGCGCCGATTGTTCCGGGGCGGCGGCGCGGCTCCGGTTGGGGGGTCGACTGGACGCGTCAGGAGCTAAAGGCACCGCCGGGCCGCCGCCGTCTCCAGAGGCGTCCTGGAGGCGTCCCGTACCATACTGGACCACAGGCTGCTCCGGACCAGACCAAAGCCTTGCAATGCGCTTGTGGTGCCACAGCACATCGGCAGCGGGCAGCAGCCCGACGAAACCAGACCGCCCGGCCGCGTGTCAAGCTGGTGATGCAGGCCTGCGCCCGGCCGGGCCCGGCTGATCGCCATCGCACGATTGATCGGCTGCACAGCGCCCTTGTCGCGCGTATAATGCAGGCGAGTCGTTATTGGGAGGCTAGGCGCGCCGCTGCGGCTGATGACCGCCGTGATACTCGAGGAGGAGTTTGGTCCGGATCGAATCGCTCTGGATTTATCAAAGTAAATCGGCAGGCTGCTTGCGCATCGTCATTGCTTTTCGCGACAGTCCGCACTTGAACTGGTCGCCCCTGTTTACACACTTGTGTTTTTTTTTTTCGCGGTGTTGCGGCTGCTGCTGCTGTTGCTGTTGGGGTAGGGCAGGATGATAGATGCGGACGGGAACATGACGAATTCGGTCCGATGCAATCGTGGCGCGGTGTGGCGCGGCGCTGGCCCACGCGGGTGTCCCAGCGGCTCAGACCGAGATGTGGAGAGAGAGAGAGAGAGAGAGAGAGAGAGAGAGAGAGAGAGAGAGAGAGAGAGAGAGA